GAGGACACTGTATGGTGGTGTCGAACTGATGTAGAAGTTTAGGAAGACAGTTTATGGGGTCATGTCGGACCGTTTGGTAGGAAGACCCAAAACGTTTATGGGGTCATGTCGGACCTTGGTTAGAAGACAGCTTTATGGGGTCATGTTCGGACCGTTGTATTTTGAAGTTTACGAGGTTGTGGACTTGTGACAAGGATCATGTCGGAAGTCAGACTGCGCCTTGTATAGAAGACAGTTTATGGGTCATTGTCGGGACCGTTGTAGCAAGACAATGTTGTGACAGTTTTACGGAAGTCTTGCTGGACCTTGTAGAAACTAACGGAATCAATGTCGACGTTTACAGAGTCTTGTCGACCCTTTGTAGAAAACTAACCGGATCAATGTCGGGACAGTTTACAGCAGTCTTGTCGGACCCAAAAGGACTAACCGGATTCAATGTCGGGACAGTTTATACAGAGTCTGTGTCGGAACCCTTAAAAAAGTTGCACTCAAAAGTGTGGCCCAATTTTTGTCAAAAAGGCGTGCCATCAAAGCGTGCCCAATTCATCAAAAGGCGGTCCGACATGATGGCGAGGCACGTGCGTCCTTGGCGTTGCCCGTTTGTCGGTGGTCAAGAGGCGCGCGATGCGCGTGGCTCCTGGCTATATAACCAAGACTGAGGTCAGAGCTAGTGCAAAAACAAAGTTCTGAAACTCTGCTGAATTCTTTTGCGAGGATTCTGCAGAACATACTGCTGTAAAACTCGCTGCTCGGAACACTTAGCCCAAAACATGGCCTTCGTTCTTCCCGCCGGGCTGCTCACCCTCTTTCCCAGACTCAACGACACAAGAGAAGAAACTGGTGCGGTGCACTGAACCTAACCAAAGCGCCCCGAGTTTGCTCCGTTGAACTTTCCGATGCGTCTGGGGAGCAAAGAATGGCAGGTGCAGTCATGATTGGAGGCCAATCAGTATACTTTGAAGCATGCGTGGAAAGCATGACGGCGGTCACAAATTTGTCGAACCGGCTGCAGAGTAGGACAAATTGAGGTGCAGCATTTAAATTCCCAACTGGCTCTGCTCCAACGCATGTATAAGGATGCGCGAGCAGAGTAAGCGTGTGCTAAGGGCAGGTAAACAAGGAGCTGAAGCGGAAGGCCACCGTGATGTTCCGATTTGGAGGGCGCACCATTATGCTGCAGTGAGGAGAGGAGCTCTGTAGTGATCGTGCAGTGGATGGGAAAACGATGCAACACCGGCAAGGGCCGCCCAGACGGAGTCAAGAAGAAAAGACCGGCGCAGGAGGAGAGAAGGAAAAAGCCCACCTGTTGAATTGTGGTTGTTTTGTTTGTTTTTGTTTGTTTGTTTGTTTGTTTTTGTTTTTTTTTTTTTTTTTTTTTATTTTTTTATTTTGGTGTGTAAACGGTGATCGGGTTGATCCCGGAGATGAATAAAAGATCTGGTGTGCTGGCAAATATGGAGAATTGGTGGGTTGTGTTGTGTGTTTTCATTATTATTAGTTTATTTATTTTTTTATGTTTTATTTATTTTTTATTTATTTTATTTTATTTTATTTTATTTTTTTTTTTCTTTTACGTGTGCCCCCTCTTGACAAAACAAAAACAATAAAATAAAAGAAAATAATAATATATATATATATATATATATATATATGGGGCAGTGTAAAAGATGGGTTTGAAAAATAGTGGGTATGTGAAGGATGTGATTTTAGTGGGAGTGATGATTATGCTGGGTGTGTGTATCAGTGTGTGTGAGAAATGAAATAAAATAAAATAAAGTGTGGAAAAAAAAAACAGAGGTGATGGAATCGGTGGGCTCGTATGTAAATATATATATATATATAAAAATAAAATAAAAGAAAGGTGAGTGGGGGTGGTGTGTAAAGCGTGAATGGAATGATGAAAGGTGACGATGATGCATGCCATGTCATTTGTTTTTTTTTTTTTGCTAGTATTATTATTGTAAAGTGGGTCACATGAGGACTCCTGAGTGAGGTAATGCCTTTTCCGTGACCTCGTCAACAACTCCGGGTTGTCCCTCTTGGCAGCCGCAACTCTCAGTGAAGCGATCGGTGGAGAGCTCGAAGGCGAAGGGCTTGTTGAGGACGTCCTCGGCGCCCTTGACGGTGAGGCAGGTGGCGACGGAGATGACGCCGCGGGGGAGGAAGGCGCGTGTGACGGAGGAGTCCTTGAACCAGAGGAGCTTGCCTTGTTTGAGGACGAACCAGTGGCGACGCCAGGTCTTGGTGTAATCGCCTTGTTTGGTGAGCCAACCGGTGCGCTCATGGTTGGACCAGTAGTCGATTCCTTGAGTTTGTTTCCATATTTTTCTTCACATCGGCAACAGTGTGTTGAGGGTTCACTTCGGTTTCGAAGTGAGTGCCTTTGAACGTCTGGACGAAGATTTTCATGTTTGAATTTGTGGGTAAGAAAATCGAGTGTCTGAATCCGATCTCTTGGTGGCCGATTAGCAAGAGAAAGCCAACACAAAGTGAGAAATAGAGTGACCGAAAACCCAGAAACAGACCAAGGAGAGGAAGGAGAAGAAGAAGGGTTCATGTGAAACCCATTGTTGGAAATGATGATTCTTGGCGAAGATTGGAGAAATGGGTTGGGTCTGTTGTTGTTGTTGGGGTTAGACATGGGATTGAAGGGAGAAGGAGAGGAGGGTGTTGAGGGTGTAGACGAAGTGTTCGACGAAAGTCCCAACCGAGTTTTGGCTTGGCTGATGAGGGATAACAAGAGGGTCTCAGGTCCACAGGCTAAGCGAATCATCTCCTTCTCACCAGGTTCTTGAATGAAGATGTAACCCATGATCTTTGAAGCGTTTTCTGGATCTAAACTCCGGCAACAACTACCACCACTGCCGTGGAATAGGTTGAGGTCCGGCGGGCGGCCAAGGCGAGATTGCCGCCCGCCGGTGAAGCAAAATTACTAGATTCTTAACCTTGCTCTGATACCATGTAAGATAAATTGATATAGAGAGAAATTGTATATATTATGATTGATGTTATTGATTGATGTGTATATTGTGTATATTACAAGGATTTATATAGGAGAGGATTTGGGAGTAGGTGAAGGTGGTAGTGGAGGTGGTAGGTGGAGTGGGTGGTAGTGGAGGTGTTAGGTGGAGTGGGTGGTTTACTATTTACAATTTACATTTTACATTAACAATGCATATGTTATTCACTGGGCTTTAGTTCACTGCTTATATATATATATGTAGGTGTACAGGCACCAGACCGTTGCTAGGAGCGTCGAGCTAAGCTCCCGTTTTGTCAAAGCCAACCACCGTGCCTCACTGCGAGGTTCCAAGTCCTTCAAGCTAGGGCTTTTTGGGGTGTTTTAGTTTTCTTCCGTTTTGTATCTGGTTTTGTAACACTGTATAGACTGACATGTGTACCCGTACTGTACTGCTATTGTAGGGATTTGTTCCCTAACCTGAACAGCTGTAAATGACGTATGTATGTATATACTGTTTTGTTTCTGAATGTGAATATATATGAAAAGTCTTTTTGCATACAGACTGTCACAGCTCATTAGACATCTTTTAATTACTGTTTTGGCTTCCGCCAGCCCCTGTACTCTGTATTACTGTTTTACTATTAAGTAGTCAATTGAACATATATTTACAACATTGTTACTCACAGAGTTCTGGGCTACAGATAAGCTAGTACGCGTCCTCGGATGCCAACCCTACACAGTTACAGAGTGAACACACACTAAGCTACACAGTTGGGAAATAATAACTTAATCCCTATCTTGACTCGGTGTGGTTCTACATCAATATCCTCATTAAGATGCCTTAAACTAGGCCTAGGAATGCCTAGGATGGAATGAGGATGCAAAGATGCACTTTAAAACACTTTTCAGAATTTTCAGAAAACAAGGGTCCCGCTTGAGCGTGGGTTTTTACGCTCGAGCGAACATGCAGACAAAGGATCCCCGCTCGAGCATCACTTTCCACGCTCGAGCGGACTGCAAAACATGACAAAAGTACTGGATGCACGAAATTCACACTCGATGGGCGCTCGATACCCGCTCAAGCGTGAGACACAAGTCCTCGCTCGAGCGTGCATTCCCCCGCTCGAGCAGACTGTAAACACATGCAAAGTACTGGATACACGTATTTCCCGCTCGAGTGTCACTTTACCCGCTCGAGCGGACTGCATGAACACAGGTTGTACGCTCGAGCGTGGAGTCCCCCGCTCGAGCGTGAGTCCAAATTCTGGAAATCCCAGATTTGAACCTTAAGTTCAAAGCTCAACTCTAACGCATCAAAACTCAACCTCTTGGGCCCATTTTCTGGAAAAACACTTTAAACCCATAATATGACATGTTTCAAAGATCAATTTGAGAAATCAAAGCCCAAAGGTAGTTCAATTAAAACACAATTTCCAAATAAACATCAAGAACAAGACTCAAATGTAACATGCAAGTGCTCAACCAAATTCAAAGCTTCAATGCAAGCACAATTGAGTCTAAACTTCCAAAAACATGATGAATTCATGCATTATAACAATAATATGGACATGCATGCAATAATTTCCACGAAAACAACTCTAAATTTCAAGATATGCACATGCATGCATGAATCAAGCTCCAATTCAACAATGTAATCCAATTCTTGACTCAACTCACTCAATTACCATGTACCATGCAAGAATCTACTAAATTTCATGATCAAGAAGGGAAATTCTCTACCTTATGTCTTAAGTTCAAGATGTAGAAGCTCAATATGTAATTCTCCTTCAAATTCTCCAAGCAATCTTTGATGAATTCTATTTTCTTCCAATTCCCTCTCTCTCTAGTCAGTTTTGCTCTAGGAAATGAGCTGAAGAAATGTTGTATCAACATGTATGAAGTGGAGAGGGGTTGCCTAGACAAATCCACTAGATAACAATTTGGTGATTAAGGCCAACTCTTGTAATTTACCATTATTAAATCTAGTTTGATCATACCAAATCACATTTCAATTAAATATACCATAAAATTACATAAATTCTAACGAGCATAAAACATCCATCAATTTCAAATTTGGCCGCCGATAAGGCCTTCAATTAGCAGTTTAAACATAAAACACGAACAGATAGTTCACTGACAAACAGATAGAAATGCATTCAAACTAATACGTTCAATCAATCAGTTCAGGATTTCAGTCAATCAGTTAGTTAACATGCTTAATCATAGATTAGCACTAATCAGTAGTCTTATCAGTAAACAGTGGCGAGGGTTGTCACAGTCTCCCCTCCTTATAAAGAGTTTGGTCCTCCAAACTCAAATTACCTTCATTCTGGAAGAATACAGGATTCAGTGGAAACAATTCAGGATATCTCTTGATCATATCATCTTCCCTTTCCTAAGTGGCATACAAGCCACCGTGGTTTTTCCAGTCAACTTTCACTAACGGAATCTCTTTGTTCCTCAACTTCTTGATCCGTCTGTTTACAATCTGAATAGGTCGTTCTTCATAGGTGTAGTTATCACTTAGCACTACACGGGTTGGTTCAATCACATGGAAGGGATCCCGAAGGTATTCTCTCAACATTGAAATATGGAACACGTTATGCATATGCTCAATTTCAGGAGGAAGCGCTACTTGATACGCCATCGGATTAATTTTCTCAATAATTTCATACGGTCCGACATATCTCGGCGCTAACTTGCCTTTAACCCCAAAACGGGTCTGGCCCTTCATCGGTGTCACTTTTACAAAAACATGATCACCCACTTCATATTCTCTGTCTCGCCTTCGGACATTCGCATAACTTTTATGTCGGCTTTGTGCGGTTTTCAATCTCTGTTGGATCAGTTTCACTTTCTTAGTAGTTTCTTGTACAATCTCGGGCCCAAGCAAAGGCCCATCTCCAACTTCTGCCCAGCAGATCGGAGATCGACATTTCCTACCATATAAAGCCTCGAAAGGTGCCATACCAATGCTTGAGTGAAAACTGTTGTTGTAGGCGAATTCAGCCAAAAGTATATGACTTTCCCAATTTCCCTGGAAATCAAAAACACACATCCGCAGTAAATCCTCCAGAGTCTGGATGGTTCTTTCTAACTGACCATCTGTCTGAGGATGGTATGCACTACTCAGTCTTAGTTTAGTACCCAAAGCTGTCTGTAGGCTTTTCCAGAATCTCGATGTAAACTTCGAGTCCCTATCAGAAACAATAGACACAGGCACTCCATGCAATCTCACAATTTCATCAATATAGAGTATAGCCAATTTGTCCGCATTATAAATTGTTTTGACAGGTAAGAAGTGAGCAGATTTAGTCAATCTATCAACAACAATCCAAATTGAATCCATACCTTTACTGGAGCGGGGTAAACCAACGATAAAATCCATAGTGATATGTTCACATTTCCACTCCGGTATCGGTAAGGGTTGCAGTAAACCTGCAGGTCGTTGATGTTCGGCTTTAACTTGTTGGCAATGAACATATTTCGACACAAAATCAGCAATTTCTTTCTTTATTCCCGGCCACCAGAAATTCAGTTTCAAATCTTGGTACATTTTTGTATTTCCTGGATGAATAGACAATTTTGAATTGCGGCCTTCTTGCAGAATTCTTCTTTTCAGTTCAGAATTACTTGGTACACACAATCTTTCCTGAAATTTCAACACATTATTCTCAAATTTGAAATCCGGCCTCGGTTTGGATTCCCGTTCTTCGATGATTTTCTTCAAGAAGTCATCATGTTGCTGTTTCTCTTTAATCTCTTCAATCAGTGCTGGTTGAGCAGAAATAGCAGCTAAGGTTCCATCTTGTTCACACAAAACGACCTCAACTTCAAATCTTTCAAGGTCACATAGCAACTCTTTCTGTCCGGTGAGTAAACAGGCTAAATTTCCAATCGATTTCCGACTCAATACATCGGCAACGGTGTTAGCTTTTCCTAGATGGTACAAAATTTGCAGGTCATAATCTTTTATCAGTTCTAACCATCTCCGCTGCCTCATGTTCAGTTCTTTCTGTGTGAAGAAGTATTTCAAACTCTTGTGATCTGTATACACTTCACATGTCGCCCCATAAAGATAGTGATGCCAGATTTTCAGTGCAAACACTACTGCAGCAAGTTCCAAATCATAGGTCGGGTAGTTCTTTTCATGTGGTCTCAGTTGTCAGGAAGCATACGCAATCACTTTCCCATTCTACATTAAAACACATCCCAAACCCTTATGAGAAGCATCACTACATACAGTATAACCATCCGTACCTGAGGGTAAGGTGAGAATCGGTGCAGTCACTAGTCGAGTTTTCAACTCTTGAAAAGCTGATTCCTTCTGGTCAGTCTAGTCAAATGATATCCCCTTCTGAGTCAGCTGTGTCAGTGGTAGGGCAATTTTCGAGAAATCTTTGACAAACCTTCTGTAATACCTAGCTAAGCCTAGAAAACTCCGAACTTCGGTGACATTTGTCAGTCTAGGCCAAGTCACCACTGCTTTAATTTTCTGCGGATCAACTGAAATTCCATCCTTACTGATCACATGCCCCAAAAACATCACACTGTCTAGCCAAAATTCACATTTAGTTAGTTTTGCATAGAGTTTCTGTTCTCTTAGGGTCTGTAGGGCAATATTCAAATGATGTTCATGTTCTTCCGTGCTTTTGGAATAAATCAATATGTCATCAAGGTCTGGTTTGAAAATTCTGTTCATAAGGTCCATATATGCAGCAAGTGCATTGGTAACTCCGAAAGGCATAACAAGAAATTCGTAATGTCCGTATCTCGTTCGAAAGGCAGTCTTTTCAATGTCCCTGTCTTGACTTTCAACTGGTGGTATCTAGATCTCAGATCAATTTTGGAGACCACTTGGGCACCCTGTAACTGGTCAAATAAATCATCAATGCGAGGCAATGGATATTTATTTTTCACCGTTACCTTGTTCAATTCTCGGTAGTCAATGCAGAGTCTCAGTGAGCCGTCTTTCTTCTTTACAAACAAAATTGGAGCGCCC